CTACCTGGGAGGCGGAGGTTGCAGTGAGTCGAGATCACGCCACTGCACTCCAGCCTGGCGCCTGGCAACAGAGCGAGACTGTCTCAAAAAAACAAAATACATGAAAATGCTTAATAAGTACTCAAAAAGGTAGTATTGTGTAGCAACTTAGAATGTAAACTTCGGAGCCAGTTAGCCAGGATGGACATCACGCTTCTGCCAATCATGGTTGACTATAAGCAAGTTATGTAACCCTGCTTCAGTTTTGTCTGTGAATTAGGGATAAAACCTTCCTATTAAGTACTATCACATGTGAGATCACTGTTTGAGGCCAAAAAAAAATTTTTTTTAATTCAGTGAAAATACATCTCTTAAAAAATTAAAACATTCTTTATCATGAGAAGTAAGATTTTCTATACCTTAGGTGTTATAAAGCAATGTCCCCTCAGTTTTAACTTAACCAAAATACTTACCTTAGTAAGTGATGCTATATATAGCAAATATTTATGTATGTATATAAACTTCCAGCAAACTGTCTGCTTCTATCACTGACACTTTAAAAATTGAAATAAGGTAAGTATTATCTGAGTAATATAACCATTTTTAAGATTTGGTCTGCAAATTCCTGAAGTTCAAGCCCTGTGGCCCACTTAAAGACTGGCCCACTTAGAACTGTAAGTACTTCAGAAGCATAGCTAAGAATTGCTTTAGAGTCAGGTGTGTGTTCTGAATTCTTGTTCTGATAGCAACTATAATGTCTGCTTCAGCAAATTCAGGTTTTGAAACTGTATTCTTATCTTTCAAAAGAGGTAACATTTAACAGCACCAAATACAAAGTTTTCTGTAATAGTTCTGTAACATGGTCTGGAAAATTCCATCATTAGAATTTCCTCGGATATATGCTAAATGCAGATTCTGATGTCCCAACAAGAATATAGTGCTTAAACATCTGAGGATAAGTTCTGGGAATCTGCATTTTTTTTTCTGTAAAATATAGGTATTAGAGTTCCCTAGAGGGACAGAACTAATAGGATACACACACACACACATATATACACATATGTATGTATGTATGTATATGTGTGTGTGTGTGTATAAAGGGGAGTTTATTAAGTATTAAAAGATCACAAAGTCCTACAATAGGCTGTCTGCAAGCTTGAGGAACAAGGAGAACCAGTCTGAGTCTGAAGACAGGAACTTGGAATCCACTGTTTGAGGGCAGGAAACATCTAGCATAGGAGAAAGATGTAGGCTGGGAGGCTAGGGCAGTCTCGCCTTTCTATGTTTTTCTGCCTGCTTTATATTTGCTGGCAGCTGTGTAGATTATGCCCACCAGATTAAGGGAGGGTCTGTCTTCCCCAGCCCACTGACTCAAATGTTAATCTCCTTTGGCACCACCCTCAGAGACACCAGGATCAGTACTTTGCATCCTTCAATCAAGTTGACAGTATCACAATGTATGATTTTTTTAATAAGCTACCAGGTAAATTTTCCACCTAGTTTAATCCCTAATTTGAAAGCACCAAGATAAACAACTTTCCAAAGTTAGTCTTCTAAATAAAGGCTCCCTCTTTGTGTTTTTCTACCTAAATTGCTGTTCTTTACATTGTGCTCCCGTACGCCTTATACTTGTTGCAATTCCAAGGCAGAGATGCCAAAATTTTGATTGTTTTCATATACATAGTTATTCAGCAAAGAGGCCAGGTGTGGTGGCTCATGCCTGTAGTACCAACACTTTGGGAAGCCAATGTGGAAGGGTTGCCTAAGCCCAGGAGTTTGAGGCCAGACCTGGACAACATGGTGAGAGCCTGTCTCAAAAATACATTTTTGGGCCAGGTGTGACAGCTTACACCTGTAATCTTAGCACTTTGGGAGGCTGAGGTAGGTGGATTGCTTGAGCTCAGGAGTTTCAAGATCAGCCTGGTCAACATGGTAAAAGCCTGTCTCTACCAAAACTACAAAAAAAAAAAAAAAATAGCCAGGCATGGTGGCGTGTGCCTAAGGTCCTAGCTATTGGGAAGTCTGAAGTGGGGGGGATCGCTTGAGTACAGGAGGCGGAGGTTGGGCTTCTTTGTGCCACATTGGAAGAATTGTCTTGGTCCACACGTAAAATACACTAACACTAATGATAGCTGATGAGCTTTAAAAAAAAAAAAAATCACAAAAACAATGTTTTAATAGTTTATGAATTTGTGTTGGGCTGTATTCAAAGCTGTCCTGGGCCACAGGTTGGAAAAGCTTGATCTAAAGCATTTGATTTTTATATTAAAAAAAAGTTTTTAAATAAGAAGCAGCCCTACAGTACTCTATTACAGACATTCAAAGTATTGATATTTGGGGGGCACAATTTCAACCAACTTTATTTCATTCTGTAAGTATGTATTGAGTAAATACCAAGTATAAGACCCCCTAGAGGTACAGATGGCTGTGGCCATCTAAATCATTCTGAACTTTTTTAGTGTCATGGACCCCTTTGTCCATCTAGTGAAGTCTATTGATTGCTTTTTAAAAGCCTTTAAACATTTAAAGTACAGTACATTGAATTACAAAAAAGATCCAATAATATTGAAATAGCTATAAAAATTTTATATAGAAATATATGTGCTTTATTAACGAATAAGATCTAGCAGTGGCCCTATTAATTCAGCACAGTAATGGGGTGAGCATAAATATTTCAAGTTACCTGCAACAATTGTAATGTGATATGAATATATCAGTTCAATTGTGACAGTCACATTTATTGCTAACACTATTATGATTTGTTGGCTGTGTTTAAATTTTATCAGAAATTATTGAAAATAGAGGCTGGGCATGGTGGCTCATAACTATCCCAACACTTTGGAAGGCCAAAGTGAGTGGATCATTTGAGCCTAGGAGTTTGAGACTAGCCTGGCCAACGTGATGAAACCCTGTCTTCACTAAAAATTAAAAGATTGCCTGGCATGGTGGCAGGAGAATCACTTGAACCAGGAAGGCAAAGATTGCTATGACTCAAAATCACACCACTGCACTCCAGCCTGGGCAACAGAGCCAGACCCTGTCTAAAAAGAAAAAGATGTAGCAGACCCATTTAATTCATCTATAAACTAATTAGGGACACTGGTTGAAAATGTTAATAGGAGCTTGTCCTTTTCACTGCTGTATCCAAAACCTGATTGAAATCAGGAAGACACCTAAGCAATGAAAAATTTGTGATGCCTTACCCTATATAATTTAAAATCAAAACATTAACACTATAAGGTGAATTTAAGGAAGAGCTCATTTTTCTCATGGTGAAGACTACGATACTTTTCCAAAATTACTCAAGTTTCCCATTTGTTTCATCAGGGATGAGGGTGGGGGAGGATGTAGCTCTTTTTTAAATACCTGAATGTATAGGTTTTAATATCCAAGCTTGACTATATCCACTACACTTGGTACACAATAGAACAAATGAATGAACATCTTAAGTGAGTTCAAAATTTTAGAAACATTCACCAAGGGACAACATGAAAAATGAAATACTGTATATACAGTTAAATGCTGTTTGCTCAGTAAATGAGCAGATTGGAGAGATTATTTTTAACCTAAATAATGTCCATTGTAGATAGAATTTTACAATTCAGTGATACAATTTTTGTCTGTATTCTTAACTGCATCTGTTGTATTCCCAAAGCCTAGGAGATGCACCTGTTAAAATGTAAAATAGTTTAACAGCTTTATAGATAAGCTATAGTGTATGCTGCAGTAATTGTGTCTGCTTTGTGTTCGCTCTACCCTTTTCTGCTCTACCCTTCAAGAAAAAATTCCAAGATTTTTGTGTTTTGTATTGGTAATTTATAGCTAATAGAGTTTTCTAATGCCTCTTCCCCCCACCTCATCAATAGATACATTTTCATATAGCTATTTTAGAAGGAAGTAGAACAGTTTGGGCAAAAAAAATTGTTTGGACTGAGAAAAGGCTAATAAAGAGAGATTTCCCAGCCCTTCTGATCCACAAAGGTAGCACCAGACCAATATCTCTATATTAGTGCATGATACAGATAATTTCAGTTCTGACTCAGAAGTCATGTTTGTCAATCTATAACTTGAAAAAGTTAAAATAGAACTTTATTTTACAGATAAGGAAATTTAGTGCCTGAGGAAAAAAAGCTGGCCTGATACGTATTGATGTGAAGCCATTTATAAGCTTTACTTATTTTACTTACTGTGAACATTCATCACTTCATTGCATAACTATTGTTTGATCATAGTATGCTGCCCCAGACTATGGGGCATTCCATAGTCTGGGACATTCCATAATATACAGTATATGAGCTTTGTTGCCATTCTCAACTCCAGAGATTTCTGAATTCTGAATCACACCTGCTCCTAAGGGTTTAGGTTAATGAACTGTTGACCTGTCATTTCCTTTCCAGAACAGTCATCTAGGTCATTTAATGCTGAGACTATAAATACATTGATATGTCCCAGACTTTAGTGAACAGTTTTAATTCCAAGTATTTTTTTAACTTGAAGTTTTCATGCAGATTACATGGCCCAATTTTATGTTTTTGATAATAATAATCAATGAACTGCATAACATTGCTGAACCTTGAAAAGGTAGAACCTACTAATTGTAGGTTAATGAATAAAGTTATAAAACCACCTTTAAAATTTATGATGGACTGTTCCTGGTGGCTCATGCCTGTAATTCTAGCACATTGGGAAGCCAAGGCAGGAGGATTGCTTAAGCCCAGAAGCCTGTGACCTGCTTGGACAACATAGGGAGACCTTATCTTGACAATAAATTTAAAAATTAACTGGATATGGTGGCATGTCCCTGCTGTCCTAGCTACTGGGGAGGCTGAGATGGGAGGATCCCTTGAGCCCAAGAGGTTTGAGGCTGCAGTAAGCCATGATCATGCCATGGCACTTCAGTCTGGGCTAAAGAGCAAGACCCTGTCTCTCAAAATTAAAAAAAAATCCATGGTGCTCCCCAAAAGCTGATTATAACATCTAAGAAACACAACTTGATTTTACCTTCTCTCTTTTCCTTTTAGCACAATGCTGCAAAATGACTGGTTCATAAACCACTAAGCTGCCTTGGCAGCCACATGTTAGTGTTACCAGTAAGTAATATGCTATTTTCTTCTGCTTGGCACATACACAGTAGGCATGCAGTAATTGTTTAATAGACAAATAAGTTGTTAAACTATAAGACTCTAATGGATTGCTTAGTCCTTTAACAATTAACTACATCCCCCCCACTTACTCAATTCTTTTGTGACAGATTTTGCACTAGCAAAGTGCAGTTTCAGAAAATCAAGGAAATATAACATTTCTTGATGAAATCCTACCTTGCCTCAACAGGAGACTGAATTGGAGTCCTCGATTCTCAGTACATCAGAACTAGTCTATGAAAGCATCAGAAGAGAGAATCGTAGTAATTGAGAATAAAACATTATGCATTGATAGTTGAGTTTTATGTCATCATGTAGTTAATGCTGTGACCATAAAGCCATTACTGTAACGCTTAAGTTTATCTTCTGAAGGAAGCCTGTGAAATAGCTCCAGAAAGTCTTGGGAATTTTTTGTTTGTTTGTTTGCTTGCTTGTCTTTTGGCAGGGGTGGGGGGTTGGGGGTTTTTTTGTTTGTTTTTTGAGATGGAGTCTTGCTCTGTTGCTCAGGCTAGAGTGCAATGGTAGGATCTCGGCTGCTACAACTTCCGCCTCCCGGGTTCAAGTGATTCTCCTGCCTCAGCCTCCAGAGTAAGCAGGACTACAGGCATACACCACCATACCCAGCTAATTTTGGTATTTTTGTTAGCGACAAGGTTTCTTCATTGTTGGCCAGGCTGGTCTTGAACTCCTGGTCTCAAGTGAACCGCCCGCCTCGGCCTCCCAAAGTGCTGGCCACCACACCCGGCCAGACTTGTTTTTTAGTGAAATTAATTGTTTTCCTTTAGCACCTTATTCTTTATGATAATAGATTCCAAAAATATGCAATCTTGTCAAAGGCTATTTTATCCTCCATTTCTTTAAAAATGAAGTATAATTACAACATTTTCAGATAGCCTATATTCATCTAACCTATTCCACCCAGTGAGGTTTTCTATCATTGGCACAAGTCTATGAAAGGACAGTAAAGGGTCTGTTGCATACCCTACCACTAATGTTTGTAATAATATGTTAAGATAAATTGTTTCCATGTAATCGGACTACATTCTTTCTCTACCATCTGTCCTCTATTTAACCCACCCTTGTTGTGTCCTACTAACTATATTGACAGTACATGACCACTAAGTTGTAAATTATTCTAAAATCAGGAGCTCAACCATATTTGTATTCAGTGCTTAAAACGGCTTTTGTTTCTTCAGCAAATATTCATTAGGTATCCACTAGGTGTCAGATAATATACAAGGTAAATTCTGGGGATACCAAGATAATAAACAGACATGCCAATATGAATCTGACAGTTTTGGCAGGGAGAGGTGAAATTGATCTGCAAGCCAAAAAAGCTGCAGTAGAATAATAAGTATTGTAATGGCAATAAAATACCAGAACTATTAATTTTACATTTAGTAATCATACAATGTCAATTAAATGGGTCAAATCGATATGTTGGCATGAGTGACATATAACTGAAAAAACACTTAAGAACTGTATAGGAATTGAATAAGACATAAAAGTAATATTAGTAGGAAGGGGAGAGAATACTTGATTCCAGGTAAACAAGCAGGATGCTTTTTGAGCACAGCCCTGGAGTAAAATCTCTAACTTTTGAAAACAGTCACATTTTTGTTCTTATGTAATCATTTTTATTTTTATTTATTGTTTTGGCTCTAGTTCCTCTATGTTAAAATTTTAGTGTCAGTCTTAATTCTAAGTTATGTTCCCTAGACCTTACTCCCTGATTTTCTTATTTTCATTTGCCCAAATAAGGGCCAGTCTTGTCCTTAGGTAGAATAGTGGATTTCCCAGCTTATGAGGACTAAAAAGTCATTTCCAAAAACATCTCCCCAAAAAATCTGCCTCAGTGACTAAATTTCTAGCATCAGAATAATCATTCTTAGTACAGTGATTTGATCTTTACAAATTACATGAATGTATAAAATATCACATGTCCACAAAATTATGTACATCTATTTTGTGTCAATAAAAAAATAATTCTGTATGCTTTTCCTCCTGTTAAATCTTTTTTTCCTTTTTCTTTCTTTTTTTTTTTTTTTTTTGAGACAGGTTCTGGCTCTGTCACCTAGGCTGGAGTGCAGTGGTGCAATCTTGGCTCACTGCAACCTCCATCTCCCAGGCTGAAGTTGTCCTCCAGCCTCAGCCTCCTAAGTAGCTGGGACTACAGATGCATGCCACCATGCCTGGCTGATTTTTAATAGAGACAGGATTTTGCCATGTTGCCCAGGCTAGTCTGAAACTCCTGAGCTCCAGCAGTCCTGCCTCGGCTTCCCACAGTGCTGGGATTACAGGTGTGAGCCACTACACCTGACTGGTTCTTTAGAAGACCAGTATTACATTGTGATTACCGCTGGGCAGGAAAACTAAGGGACATCAGCAGACTATGCAATTACTTTTCTCCTCTTTTAAAGTCTTGTTAATTTTTAAATTTACATACAGTAAGATTCACTCTTTTTGGTATACAATTCTATGAGTTTTGACAAATGCATAGGATCATATAACCACCACCATAATCAAGATACAAAATAATTCTGTCACCTCAAAAAAAAATCCTTTTGAGCTGTCCTATTTATAATTTTTGTGATTAAAAATGGTTCTTTATTTTTCAAAAAGTAACATTTGGATCAAGTGTGGTGGCTCATGCCTGCAGTCCGAATACAGGACTGCAACATGCTTGCCAACATGGTGAAACCCTGTCTCTAGCAAAAATACAAAATAATTAGCCGGGCGTGGTGGCATACACCTGGCATGTGCTTGTAGTCCCAGCTACTAGGGAGAGTGAGGCAGGAGAATCGCTTGAACCTGGGAGGTGGAGATTGCAGTCAGCCAAGATCGCACCACTACACTCCATCCTGGGCTACAGAGTGAGACTCTTAAAAAAAAAAAAAGTTTGAATGTGTCATGTACAGTTATTCCTTATTCAAAGATTATGCCTTTTTGGGTTGCAACAGTGCCTTTTCTAATAGCCTTATAGAAATATAAGCAAGGAAATGCTAAATTACACTATTATTAATCATTAGTACCTTGGCTGGTAATTTAAACTGTTGAAGAGAATTAGTACTTCACCTGGCATTGTGGCATAAGCCAATAGTACCAGCTACTCAGGAGGCTGAGGCCTGAGCTCCAGAGTTCAAGACCAGACTGAGCACATAGTAAGACCTTGTCTCAAGAAATAAAAAGATTGGACTCAGAACTAAGGTAAAGGATGTGTGTGTTTGGTTAGAGTATGGGAATGAAGGCTTAGGGAGGAGATCAGGGCCTGAGGTGGAACAATGTGCAGTGCATGGAAGGAGAGAGATAGGTAGTGTGTTCTGAGTAATAGAAGAGACCTGGATTCTCAAAGATAGGGGGCACCAAAGAAAGAGATGAGTCTGAAGAGGGGTGACCTTCATGTAAAAAATGATCTATCTTAATTGGGAGCTACCAAACCAGGATTCTGTACTGAACCTAAACAGAATAAGTAACTTATTCTTAAAAGGTCACTCCCCTAGCCAGGCGCAGTGGCTCACGCCTGTAATCCCAGCACATTCGGAGGCCAAGGTGAGTGGATCACCTCAGGTCAGGAGTTCAAGACCAGCCTGACCTAACATGGTGAAACCTTGTCTCTACTAAAAATAAAAAAATTAGCTGGGCGTAGTAGCAGGCATCTGTAATCCCAGCTACCTGGGAGGCTGAGGCAGGAGAATTGTTTGAACCCAGGAGGCGGAGGTCACAGTGAGCTGAGGAGATCCCACCATTAAACTCCAGCCTCGGTGATGAGCAAAATCTCTGTCCCCCGACCCAAAAAAGAAAAAAAGTCACTCCCTTTCTGGGCCTCAATTTCATAATCTATAAAATAGTGAGGTTGGACTGAGCATATGCCAAGGTCTACTTCAGAGTTCTCCAGCTAGAGGCAAAACCCTTGTGTGAATGTGTTAGTTTTTTTCCCTCAAGGTTATTTCCTGTAGTTTTAACTAGAGAGATACATTGGGATATCAATAACCAAATTCTAGTAAGCATTATGATCTCTTCAGATTTCATATAATTTGATGTCAGAAGCTGCATAGCAAAGTTAAGGCAGATCTGAATTGAGTTCAAGTGGACGTAGCTATGTGACCCTCCGTCTTCTCCTGTATAGAATGACTTTTGTACTCTAAAATTCCTTGTAGTTTTCACAATATATGAGTATGAAACCTATGAAAACTTACCAGTGTTTTTGCTATTCTCACTTCCTTTGAGTCTGCAGCTGCTATTCTGATTTGATTTTTTGTTGTTTATTTTTATTAGCCACTATTCATTCAGTACCTTCTATATGCCAAAATTTTTGATATTTAACCTACATTATTTAAGGACTTTTATACTGCTACTGTACTTTATAGGTGTATAGATATGGTAAAATCACACCATGTCTCCTACTCTGACTCTGGATAACATTCCTACAGCAGGATCTCATTTCAATAAAAATTACAAGAAACACTAGAGAGAGAGGAGGGAAGAAGAAAAATGTGGTTCTAAATTAATAAGTGAAAGGAAAGAAACTAACATTTGAGGATCTGCTATGTGTTAGACACTTCATAACATGGTATCTTCTGCTTTACTAGTCAAAAAATAACATGATATCTTCTTTAGATCATTGAGATAAGCAGATAGGAAGACATCACAAAGGGAGTCTGCTTATATTGATAAGAAAATTTCTTCATGCCATAAATCACTGGAATTATTCAAAATATTTGTTTTGCATGTTATCCTCCATTATGAAGACAAAAACAGCATAGTATCTCTATGTAGCAAGTGTTTGGTGAATGTTTATTGAATAAGTAGGAAATTTTCTCATGTATATAGTAGTGTTTCTTAATGTTTTGGATCCATGGACCTATAAAAATTATATAAAAGCTATGACTACATCCAGGATGTTACCTCCATCCCCTGCCACATACAAAAGGAAACAGCCAAGTCCCTCTCCTAATTCTATCCATTACCACATCTATATTTGTGTAAAACCCATGATTTAAAAACGTTTGCAGCCCCTCTGTAATCCATTCACATGACCTAAGAACAGCCCTGGAAACATCTCTAGGTATGCAGGTAGACTGAAGCATAGTACCATTCATTTATATTGCTATATGATGCTGCCATGCGTTATTGGTCCTTTATAGACTTAAGAAAATCATACCATGCCTCCTGACCATTAACAAATAGTCATGTTCAGTCTTCCATTTTATGAGTGGAAATTACATCCAATTTATTTTTAGTTTCATTAATATGTACTACAACCAAAAGATAGCATTATATACTTTTATTTTTTTAGTTTTTTGAAATATAAATTATGGGATTTTATAAATACAGAAATTATTTCATGGGTAGCATATGTCTGGCTTTCTAGGTGGAATGATTCCTATTTCTTTTTGTACCTCTCCCCATTCAGAAACTCACTTTGAGGCCAAGCGTGGTGGCTCAAGCCTGTAATCCCAGCATGTTAGGAGGATAAGGCAGGCAGATCACCCGCCTGGAGTTCCAGCCTGGCCAACATGTTGAAACCCCGTCTCCACTAAAAATACAAAAATTAGCCTGGCGTGGTGGCCCACACCTGTAATTCCAGCTGCTTGGAAAGCTGAGGCATGAGAATCACTTGAACTCAGCAGGCAGAGGTTGCAGTGAGCCAAGATTGCACCACTGCATTCTAGTCTGAGCGACAGAATGAGACTCCGTCTCAAGAAAAAAACAACTCATTTGGAACTTTGCTAGGCCATTGTCCTCATATGTGAGATTTTATCTGGATAGAAGAAGATGAAAAAATTGTCTTGCCTTTTAGTGGAGGAGAATGACATGTAAAACAAGTATTCTAAAATACCTAGTCCTAACCTTGCGTAGAATCTTTAGGACCTAATATAGCATAACCAGAACAGCTATTTGGATGCTTGCCTAATCTCTAATACTGGTTTCCCTTTTATATATGACTGCAAAACTGGTTGTCGCCTAGGTTTATGATGGAAGAAACTCCAGTTGTTTACTATTATTATTAAAGTGGGAAACAGGGAGGTCATTGATGAAATGGATTGATGTTTTGAGGAGTTACTATATACCAAGGGCTCTTAAATTTTTACATAAACTTTCTGGATGGAGAGTAACAGACTCTCCAGTGTTCACTTGCCACAAGCCATGCCATTTATAGCTAATATTTGAATGCTTATTGTGACCAACGGCACTGTTCCAAGGGCATTACATGCATATAATTCATATTTCTCATTTAGTCTTTATAACAACTCCTTAAAATACTGTTAATATGGCCAGGTATAATGGCTCACACCTGTAATCCCAACACTTTGGGAGGTTGAGCCAGGCGGATCACAAGGTCAGGAGTTCAAGACCAGCCTAGCCAACGTGATGAAACCCTGTCTCTTTAAAAAAAAAAAACTGTCAATATTTTTATTCCCTAATTTGTCAATAAGAAAACTGAAATTTAGAGATTATACAGTTTGCCCAACAATATTGGAAAGCTGGGACTTTGAACCCTGGCTGATTTGACTCCAAAGTCTGTACTGCCAATGCTCCAGAATTAATTAGCATTAATCTTTTCTGTTGTTTATGACCTAAGTATGGCTGTCCATGGCAGAGAGTCAGTGAGGGAGGCATTAATGGCGAATCACTGGGTCACTTCTGAGAGATGTGGTACATTCCCTCACAAACAGGTTTCATGTGATAGGTTGGAGGGATAAAAGAGGTTGAAGAAGGTGGAGGTGGTATGGTTGGGCCTGATTAGGAACTGATTACATCTGAGCCTCTGGCCCTTTTTCCTGCCAGCTGACTCAGAGTGGGCAGATGGGCCAAAGTCCAGGCAGGTTGATTTCATGGGCTGTATACTTCAAAGGATCTGATTCCTGGTGCTACTAAGCACATTGCTTTTGAGAAGGCACAGTCTTGTCGGGGAGGGAACAGGATGCTCTCAATGAGGTGTTTGTGAAAGCCCTAGGCAATGTTTGCTCTAATCCAAATATATATAGCTTGTTCTGGGTTTGGCAATAAAACACAGCCAGCCCTAAGCAGGGCTGAAAATTGTGCATTTAAACCTTAAGTTTTCTGCAGTACAATAACAGTTAATATATGCATACTAAAGTAAGATAGACCTAGAATCTAATTTTGACTTCACCACTCTGCGGTAGGTAAATTACTAGACCTCAGTTTTCTTGTTTATGAAATGAGATTTTAGTTTTAGAGCACCTACTTCATATGCTGGTCGTGAGGATTAAACAAAAATGAGTGTCAAGTGTGTACCACAGTACCTGAGATGTAGTAAACACTCTTGAAACATTATTTTTCACTTCTAAAATTTGTCCTTCAAATACTTTCCTATCTAATAGCCATTATTCATCGAAAACTTCTATTTTATAAGAGGATCTTAGTGCTTAAACAAAATAAATTGATTCATCATGATTTCACTTAACATTCAAAAGGCATTTATTATTGTGTTGGGTAGACAGATGGAGAAAATAGCAGCAACTTTTGTGGAACACCTAAAATAAGCTAAACATTTTGTCTCATTTTATGTTCACAAAAGTTCTATGAAGTATTTTCTTATGTTATAGATGAGATCATGGGTCAAGAGAGGATTAGCAACATGCCTAAGATCTTGTAGTCAGCACTATCTAATTCTGAAGCCTATGAATAAGGTAGCCTTATCCCCATGGGAGCATGGCATTCAGCAGGCAGGCAGATGTATAAACAAGTACAGCTGGCCCTTCTAGATTCAGATTCTGCCTCCTTGGACTCAACCAACAATAGATTTAAAATATTTTTTTAAAAAAAATTAAAAATGCAAATTTTAAAATATAACAACTACTTACATAGCTTTTACATTGTGTTAGGTATTATAAGTAATCTAGAGATGATTTGAAGTATACAAAAAATGTCTGGACACAGTAGCTAACACCTGTAATCCCAGCTTTTGGAAGGCTGAGGTGGGTGGATCCCTTGAGACCAGGAGTTTGAGAACAGCTTGAGCAACAAGGCAAAACTTTGTCTCTACAAAAAGTACAAAAATTAGCCAGGTGTGTTGGTGCATGACTGTGGTCCCAGATTCTTGGGAGGCTGAGGTGGGAGAATCACTTGAGCCCGGGAGGTTGAGGCTGCAGTGAGCTGTAATTGTGCCACTGCACTCCAGCCTGGGCCAGAGTAAGATCCTATCTCACAATAATAAAGTATACAAGAGGATGGGCCTATGTTATAAGCAAATATTATGCTTTTTTTTTTTTTTTGGAGACAGTCTCTCACTCTGTTGCCTAGGCTGGAGTACAGTGGTGCTATCTTAGCTGGCTGTAACCTCAAAATCTTTCCTGAACTTGAGTGATCCTCCTGCTTCAGCCTCTCAAGTAGCTGAGGCTATAGGCTATATTACCACGCCCAGCTAATTTTTTATTTTTAAGTATTTTGTAGAGTTGGGGTTCTCATTATATTGTTGCCAAGGCTGTTATGCCATTTTATATAAGGGACTTGAGCATCTGCAGATTTTGGTACCTAAAAGTAGGGGAGGGAAGCCCTGGAACCAGTTCCCCACAGTTATGGAGAAAGGGCTGTACCTAAATTCAAAGTGCTGTTGTTGAGGTTTACACTAGGTGCTTGGAAGAGCAGAACAGAATAGGTGAACTCTGGGGATGAAGTGAAAGTAGTCCCTGGCCGGGCGCTATGGCTCAAACACCTGTAATCCCAACACTTTGGAAGGCCGAGGTGGGTGGGTCACGAGGTCAAGAGATCGAGACCATCCTGGTCAACATGGTGAAACCCCATCTCTACTAAAAATACAAAAAATTAGCTGGGCATGGTGGCGCATGCCTGTAATCCCAGCTACTCAGGAAGCTGAGGCAGGAGAATTGCCTGAACCCAGGAGGTGGAGGTTGCGGTGAGCCGAGATCGTGCCATAGCACTCCAGCCTGGGTAACAAGAGCGAAACTCCGTCTCAAAAAAAAAAAAAAAAAAGTAGTCCCCTTCACAGGAATAAATGGGAATAATGGGGCTTCAGGTGGGAAGGAGGAAGGGAGTGTTTGCTGTTGGAGAAGTTAAGGGAGTTCTTTCTGAGTTTCCCTAAGTCACACTAGAAGAAAAGGGTTAGAGGGAAGCCTTTCTGGAATTCCCCAAGTCAGTGTGACTACCTCTTAGATCCAGCATTACAATTGCAGCAAATATTATAGTTTCAGACAAAGAAACTATCTCCAGAGAGACAGATTATGTTGTTTACTTCAGGTGCAATGGTGGGGGTTCTATATAAATGATAGGTCTGTATCTGAATCATCTGTACGTTCTTGTGCTTTAGAATGAAACTTAATAGTGATAATAGCAATCAATTCTTACTGCATGGTCCTTAGGTACTAATCACTGCTGTGTTCACAGGCTAGAACTCTTACCTGGAGAAGGGTGGAAATGTTTTGTCTAAATCAATAATCTCAAATTAAGTACTCTTAATTTAAACATATATCCCCAATATGTGTATATTGCCTTATAAGTTATATACATGCGCTAGGCTAATATAAAATATACATTATGAAATGTAGACAGAAATTTTGAAGGAATGAAATGAATAAAGTATTTTATCTCATGGAAAAATACTTAGGTTTCTGTATCTTGTTATTAAGTGGATACAAATTAATACTGTATTTCAAATAGACTTTTTAATAGTTTTTGTGTGTTTTTTTTTTTTGGTCAGATTGTCAGATTTTGTTAGATGACCACTTTATTTAACATCATAATTTGACTGATGAAGAGATCATACTAAGTGAAAGTGTCAGTTCTGCCATTTGAGAGTGGGGTGCAGATCCTCTGTATCATCTTCAGTTCACAGGGGGTTTTTCCCAGCAATTCTTTAAAACAAATTATTGACTTTTTAAGATTTAATTTTTTTAAAACTAGATTTTAAAAATCCATATATCCCCTTTTGAACCACAATATGTCACTAATGCTCAAAGAAACTCCATCATTTGTATCTCATCTGACGTGAACGTCAAATATAGGGACAGTGTGGGGATGCCAACCTCAATCCATATGGATTAATAGGGCTTAATTTTCTCATGATAAACATAAGTAGAAGTTATGAAAATTCTTACCACACTTTAGTGAATTGTCTTGTATACCTCTAGAGTGAGCACATTCCACTTTTGATATTAGTATCAGCAGCAAGACCTGTGACCATAAAGTGGGAATAAACAATCCCATTTTTAGCATTGGTTGGCCCAGATTCACTTATGAGTGACAAGTGAAAAAGATACAACATGATTTTCCAGGAAATCAGAAGAGCTAAGTATATCTTGAACCTTTGAGAGTATGGCCTGTCCATAGAAAGGCAGAATCTACATTTGTCCAGTGCCTTCAGGAAATACATTGTACCAAGATAGGCATCTCCACAAAAGTAGGAAAAAGAGAAAAAAGAAAGACTCAATTTATTTTTAAGAAAATCACACACAAAGTACATTCTAGTTTTTAAGAATTAATCCTAATTGTAGAAGAATGTTACAAAAAAAAAGAATTAATCCCAGCTCTTCTACCTGATTTTGGTAAAAGAAAAAAGAAGAATAATTAATCCCAGTTCTTCTTTCTACTAGTCATGCAATTTTGGGAAAGTAACGACCTATTGGAGCCTGCTTCTCATCTCTGAAGTGAGAATGATTAATATTCTCATGGTCATATTGACCCCTCACTATGTGCATAGAGATGCTGAGCTAAAATTCTTTTCAAGCGTTTATTTAATCCTCAATACACTAGTGAATAGAGGCTAAGTAGTTTACCAAAGCATTTTTCTTTTCCTCCTGAGCACACAGGACTATTGTTCCAGTCCTCCTTTGCTGTTAGGTGCAGCCATGTTGCTGTGTTCTAGCCATTGAAATATGGAAAAAAATGATCAATACGACCTCCAGGTCTGACCCGTAAAACCTTCCTTGTCATTCTTCATGCTCTCATTCTTCCTTCATCTGCTAAAGGATTCAGCAGAACCATTACGTGCATGGAGGTCTCCCTTCCTCCCACTACTTTAAACGTGCATTGAACTGTGATGTGAGCCAGAAATAAACTCTTATTATGTTAAATCATTAAGATGTGAGAATTGTTTGTTTCAAGAGTTAGTGTATCCTGACTAATACAGCAAGGTTTGGCAAGAACCCAGGAAAGGGAAAGATAAATTGTTTACGTTGTCTGCTGGATAATGTAAAATAAAATGGGCAATAAGCATCGTTAACTTAAGGAAGATGAAGATTACTTTCATGAGATAACTTATGAGCAAGTGTCTGTAAAATCCTTTGGATAACATGTGAAAAATGTCAGGAATCACAGATTTACACTCTGCTTTCCAAAGCTTTTTGCAGACACCACTGGGGACTCCTTAATGAATGGAAACACACCCCCTTTAATATCTCGTGCTCTACAGCCTACTAAATTAAATCAGTTCAGCACATTCCTTTGAGTTTAAAAAAAAACAAAACAAAAAACAGGTATGAATGCATTCTTTTATACTGCCTTGGAAATCCTTTCTCTACCTTAATAATGTTTTCTGTTTATTCAAACTGAAGAGCTGAAGTATGTTTAAGACTTTTTCCTCAAGTCAGCGTGAATGTAACCCGTTGTTTCTTTACGCTAACAAATTTTCTGGACATTACAGCATTTAGCTGAAGCCATATTTTAAGCTTGAATTATTGTATTCCATTTATTTGGATTACCCTCGGTAAACTAAATGATCTCACGGCATATTTTTCAACTAGAAAATATTACTGTGGTTTCCTCTTTTTCATACTTGCAAAATTGATTTCTGTTGAATTGCCTGGATAGCTAATTGGTTTGTATTTTCTGCTCAAGTGCAGATGAATTATTTATTGTTGACTTTGATGAATCAGAACATCAACACAGCCTCTCAAGACCATCTGTTGCTGTCACCCTTATCATGCTCCTTCCCCCATCCTATGTCTTTTTTTTTTTTTTTTTTTTAAATTTAGAGACAAGGTCTCACTATGTTGCCCATGCTGGTCTTGAACTCCTGCCTTGGCCTCCAGAAGTGCTGGGATTAGAAGTGTTAGCCACCACCTCCAGCCACAGTCATGTGCGTTTGAAACATTCAGGACCTGGGCAGTGCGTTTTGAAGCCTTGATAAATGTTCATAGAAGCTATATGGCCTAGAGGAAACAGACTTCGTGTTTAGACAGACCTGACTTCCAGTCCTGGCATAGCCACCAATTATGTATATATGACTTTGGCATGTTATTCAACCTCTTTGGAGTTACAAATACAATGGAAGTGGTAAAACCCACTTTGCAAGGTAAATGAGATATATAGACTGTTGACATTTTTGAACCTGGGTACAAAGGTCATAAATAAAATACTAGCAAACCAAATTCAAAGTATATATCATAATGAAGTATATCAGAAATACAAGTTTCATTTATATTTTTAAAAATTAAAAATGTAATTTATGGCTGGGCACTGTGGCTCATGCCTGTAGTCCCAGCACTTTAAGAGGCCGAGGCAGGCAGATTACCTAGGGTTAGGAGTTGGAGACCACCAGCCTGGCCAACATGGCGAAACCTGTCTCCACTAAAAATATAAAAAATTAGCAGGGCGTGGTGGCAGGCTCCTGTAGTCTCAGCTAATCAGGTGGCTGAGGCATAAGAATCGCTTGAACCTGGGGAGGAAGAGGTTGCAGGGAGTCAAGAACGTGCTACTGCACTCCAGCCTGGTGACAGAGCGAGACTCCACCTCAAAAGTATAGATATATAATTTTTTCACCTTAACTGATTGAAGTCATAAACACATAGGGTCATTTCAATAGATACAGAAAAAAAATTGTTTGACATTTATTCATTAAAAACAAAACTCTTGGAAAATTGAGTGTAGATTTCTTAAACTGATAATGGGTATCTATAAAAATACTTATGGCTGCTGGGCGTGGTGGCTCATGTTTGTAATCCCAGCACTTTGGAAGGCCGAGGTAGGTGGATCACAAGGTAAGGAGTTCAAGACCAGCCTGACCAACATGGTGAAACCCTGTCTCTACTTAAAAAAAAAATACAAAAATTAGCCGGGCATGGTGTTGGGTGCCTGTAATCCCAGGTACTTTGGAGGCTGAGACAGGAGAATTGCTTGAATCCAGGCGGCAGAGGTTGCAGTGAGCCAGGATTATGCCATGCACTCCAACCTAGGTGACGGAGTGAGAGTTTCTCTGAAAAAAAAAAAAAAAAAAAAAAAAAATTACGGCTAACAGATGCAGAGCTTTGTTCATTAATAAAGAGTATCTTTTAAAAATATGTCATTATGCTGGGCATGGTGGCTCACGCCTGTAATCCAAGTACTTTGGAGGCCAAGGTGGGCGGATCACCTGAAGTCAGGAGTTCAAGACCAGCCTGACCAACACGGTGAAACCCAGTCTTTAAAAAAAAAAAAAAAAAAAAGGCTGGGTGCGGTGGCTCAAGCCTATAATCCCAGCACTTTGGGAGGCTGAGGCGGGTGGATCACGAGGTCAAGAGATCGATACCATCCTGGGCAACATGGTGAAACCCCGTCTCTACTAAAAACACAAAAATTAGCTGGACATAGTGGTGTGCGCCTGTAGTCCCAGCTACTTGGGAGGCTGAGGCAGGAGAATTGCCTGAACCCAGGAGGCGGAGGTTGTGGTGAGCCGAGATGACGCCATTGCACTCCAGCCTGGGTAACAAGAGCGAAACTCCGTCTCAAAAAAAAAAGAAAAAAGTATGTCATTATACTTAATAAAGGATGAAAAATTTTGCTTTTGATACAAAATTTAGCAGGTTGTGGTGGTGCGTGCCTGAAATCCTGGCTACTTGGGTGGCTGAGGCATGAGAATTGCTTGAACTCAAGAGATGGAGATTGTGGTGAGCTGAGATCATGCCTCTGCACCCCAGCCTGGGTGACAGAGAGAGACTCTGTCTCAAAAAAAAAAAAAAAAAAATGTTCCTTTTGAGACCAAGAATAAGAGACTTCTTTATTTACCATTGTCCTGGAGGTCCTAGCCAGCTCAGTAAAGCAAAATACATATAAATAAAAGGTATTAGGGATTGAAAGGGAAGAAACAAAATCTAAAAACAACTACATATAAGTTATTAGACTTATGAGGAACTTAGAAAGTATATTAAGTACAAGGATCATATGCAAAAATCAATTGCATTTTTATATACCAGGTACAAATAGTTTTAAAAAATTTTAAAAACAGTTTATCATAGCATTAAAAATATCAAGTACCTAGGACTCTAACAAAAGATGTATATATCTCTAGAGGGAAGACTAAAACATTGTTCAGAGACATTAAAGAAGACATAAATCAATGGAGAAATATGCCATGTTCAGACTCACTGTCTCCTTCACCCTACTTTTTATTGCTCTGAATATAGTACCCTACCTGGATCCCAAGTTCTGGTGCTTCAGAAACTTCCTACCTCTAGTTCTCCCATGTGAAGGATCAGTCAGATGAAGAACTAGGCCGGGCATGGTGGCTCACGCCTGTAATCCTAGCACTTTGGGAGGCCAAGCCAGGCAGATCACCTGAGGTCAGGAGTTTGAGACTAGCCTGGCTAACATGGTAAAACTCCATCTCTATTAAAAATACAAAAATTAACTGGACATGGTGTTGCGTGCCTGTAATCCCAGCTACCCAAGAGGCTGAGGCAGGAGAATCACTTGAACCCGGAAGGCAAGACGACGCCACTGCACTCCAGCCTGGGCAACAGAGTGAGACTCCATCTAAAAAAAAAGGAACTAAACTCTTCAGAAACAGGTCCTGACAGTCTCAACACTGCTCAACACTGTTGTGTCCAATCCTGAACACAAGGTTACTTTTAACAGCTCAGATGCCAAGGACTACTCTACTGGGTCTGCATGGTGGACCCTGATCTTAAAGAGTTCTCCAGACAGAAAAATAGGCCGCATTTGTGGACTGGTTTACTCTACCCAAATCATAGTCTTTCTTTTGACCCTCAGTACAACCTCACAGGGAAAGAATTTGTATTATCTCCATTTCTATGTGAGAAAGTTAAGGCTCTTCAAGGTTAATGCCAGCCAGTACCCACAGTCACTCATGGAGCTAGGACTCAAACTAGGCCCTTTGATATAAAATTCTATGCATTCCCATCTATAAAAGCAACACTTCTTTCTGAGAGCAGCCCTGTGCTGCCACATTCACCAGGGAAAATACAGTGTCTTATGGATTCCTAAACTTTGGATGACCTGTACAAACCTTTCCCTGGTGCCTCTGTTCAAACAGTATATTTTTACATCTTAAGAAGGGATGTAAAGAAGAGAAAAAAGAAAAGACTTTACAGTATTTGTCTTACAAATTAGCAATTGGATTTTTAGACAAGCCAAAACCTCCCTTCTCTTACGTGTGAAACTGAGACAATAGATGTGCCTCTCTCTCAGGCTTTGGAGGATTAAATAAAGTAAGAAAAAGAGAATTAAATCGAATTTTTAAAAAAGGGTTCACCACTGTGCTTGGCCCATGGCATGTGTTCAATAAGTGCTAGCTATAGCTATTGGCAACTACTACATCATCAGAAGATAATCCTATGGGCTTTACAACCAGAGTGTTCCCCAGAGCAGGGCAGAGGAGTCAAAGCACCAGACTGGCTACAGCCTTCTTTTGCCAGGTCTTCATGCTATTCCCCAGGAACTAAATGAAGAAAGAAAGAAAAACACTTAGTTCCTGGGGAAACTAAGTATTTTCCTGGTTCCAAGGAAGTCACATTGTTTAAAATATTTTCTTTGTCCATTTGTTCATTCTTTCATTATTTTATTCAATAGACTCTTTTATTGAAGAGTCAGCTATGTTCCAGGCACTATGGAAGTATGGAAGGAAATATGTCACAAGATAGCATTGCAGAGGAAACTGTGGCAATAATCTTAGGCTTCATAGTCTGGGAGTCCTGGACTGTTCATTTGGAGGAAGATGGGGCAGAGTATCAGGTACGGTGGAAAAAGCACAAGCTTTCACATCAGAGAGATCAGGATTTCAAAGATGGTGGTACTCACCTTCTATGTGAACTTGAACAAATCCTTCACATCTCTAAACCTCCATTCCCTTATCTGTTAAATGAGAA